TTATGCGTTGCAGAAGCAGCTTAGGAAGAACAGGCAAAGATTGAGAAGCTGAGTTTGGAAGGAACCGACACTGATTCGGATGCTACTGATGATGAATCGGTAGCCAAAGATCGATGTTCCATTTTATTTGTCAACCACTGATGAAGGTGATCCGATGAATAAGGAGATAAAGACAGCAATCAAGAACACTGACTTGGCGGAGGTTCAAGTTTTCAACAGCGACAAGCTGGCATTGCCCTTACCACGGCCACTCTTGATACTATGCAGTTGAAGGGGCTTATGTTGACTGGCAATACAAAGAAGGACAGACGTACGTTAATTGAGTTGGTTTTGCTTGCGGATTGTCTGATGCACCTTGCAAATCTCACACCGGCTACCTCCCTTTTCTTGCTGTGCTGACATAGGTATTAAGTCCAAGCGCAAACTGTTCATCAAGCTCTGGTCACCTATTGCAGTCAAGACCCTCAATGTTTACGCAACTATGTTTGTAACCGAATCTTTGAGCATGTCAAGAAGCTTGTCAAGGTACATGGAGTGGAAAAGTTCCCAACCATGATTGAGGTCCTGAAGGTGATCAAGCGGGATGCCATCTTGTTGCCACCTGGAGAGGGAGCCACTGAGGGTGCGAAGGCACAGCATGAGCGACTCATGTTTGTTGCTAAATGGATGTGGGATTGCCTCTTTGCTCAGGCTGGTGGTGCATCCAAGTTTTGGAGGAAGGCAGTTCGCAAGAACTACATCATTTCGGAAGCCAGGGTTGATGGTTTGGAGGCTTTCCCTCCCAATTCGGAAGCATTTGCTGCCCTCGCCTTCGAGAATGGTTACACAGCGGAACCAGGTGCTGTGGACAATGAAGGCAACCCTACCAATGGAAAGTGGCACGAGTACTTCAAGGTTACCAATGGCTTCACCTTGGACGTGAAGTTGCCTCGCTCCAGCAAAGCAGATGATCCGGAGGGAGTTTATGAAGGGAGGTACTCCAGTTCCAAGGCTGGATCTTCTGCTTTTGGAGGGTGGGGTGATAACGGCCTTCGCCGCTTCAAGGATTTGCAGAAGCTTGTCAAGGAATCTAGAGCCCAGGACCATGCTAAATTGGTGGAGCGGGCCATCCTTGCTCGTGTGCGCAAGGACATCTACAAGATTCCTGATAGTGTCGATGCTGGAACTGAGGACTCGAAGAAGCGCAAGCGCCAAGAGTCCAGTGTGAATCTTGATGAGATTGATGATTAGGTTGCCCCTTGGCAACCTAGGACCCCATCATTTGGTGGGGTCCTACCCAGGCTTTTGGTGGCTTCCTCCACTTTTCAATTTCATTTCTCCCCTTTTAGCAGGGCTTCCAAGACGACTTTGTTACCTATGGCGTCCTTGTTTGGTTGCCCCAGCCGTCCTGTTTTGGAATCATTTGGACCCTTTTCTCGGACCTATGGATGCCCGTACCGTTACAGTTGGTTACATATGAGTGACCTGTTTCTCCCCTTTTACTACGAACATTATGTCATTGTTCGCTTACCTCCACTACTCTGTTATTAGTAGTACCATAACGAATTTAGCCCCAATCATATCCAACATTGTGTACTGCTTTTCTCCATTTTGGAAACCCCTACTTATAGATTTAGTAACCTAGGACTCTTTCATTTGGGAAGGAATGGCTGAGCTGTTTTGGATTCCGGGGCTTGGGGAATAGCCTACAACTACCCTTCTGTAATTAGCATCACAAAGTGCATCAACTTGTAAGCCATGTATAGAAAGGGGAACGGAATTCGGTAGAGGAATAGTGAACACTTAGTTCAACATTCTGTAACCGTTACGCCAATGACTTGTGCTGCAATTGCATCTGTATATGCCTGAGTCGATCGTCTTCAATTAGTAGGATAAGAGGTTCTTGAATATTGCACAGCTGACCTCACAAAATGGGAAGGATCATTCCTCGGTGTTCCCACCATACATAAGCGCGAGGTCAGTTACCGATTGGTAACCTTACCATCGACTGACCTGGCAATTTTGTAACCGACCTCGCTGTTTTCGCGCTACCCCATTATGCGCTTCTTAGATGGAATCTTCCACGCGTTCCGTTTTTGGATCGTGGAGTGAGTAGGATTGCTACCGCAACCTACTCTATCACACTCTACAGTCTCCCGCGGGAGTTCAGATCTACGATCCTTTGGTTGTAGATCTCTCTCGTTGATTAGTTTTCATAGCTTTCTAATCCTCTCATAACTTTCATTCTCTCAAACTCAAAACACTCGAAAGATCTTTACACTAGCTTTTAGCGTAGTGCATTCCCTTCTCTCTGATCAAAGCGACGCATCAAGGCTCCAGAGCTTCCACCGTGCACACCATCCATCACCACAACTCCATCCCAGCGTAGGATCTCGCAAGGATTTGTGCACTTGAAGTCGTGGCCATATCCATTTCCAAGCTCCAGTTCTCCCATTGCATACAGGTTCGAAAACTGAGAGACCTTGTGATAGAAACCTTTCCTTGGATCATCCTTCACAGAAGATTTGGATGGATCACAAATGGGAAGAAGCAATTGATAAAAGAAGAGGGCATCAGGAGATCCATCTGGTTCACACATCCTGTCGCTGTTCAGGCCAAGAGCTTCTAGTTTCGTTGCATCGAGGCATCCTTTTCTCTCCTTTGGAAACATGTTGTCCTTGCTGGCTCCATGGCGGTATTGAGGAAAGGAATCCTGCTGCGTACCATCCCAGCTGTCATAATGGAATTCGAATCCACCGTGGACTCTCTTTCCTGTGCCTGGATCCAAGGGGACTGGAGTAGCTCCGGTTGGAAGGGAATGGTAGGCATATGTCTTGTTGTCTTGCTTGTTCCTCGCCTTCCTAAATTTGGCTGTGAAGACATAATGTGACCATTGTCACGGATTATCAACATCCTCAAATTTTGGTTCGCCTTTTTCAGATTTTGGTTTTGGAAGCTTCCATCCAGCGGGAGGACCAGGCGCTTCCCAATTAGGAGGAGCACCATCGATATTCTTTGGTGGGATGTCGGCATTGGATTCCTCATTGGATGGAATGAAGTCGGTGTCATCTGGAATGGCGGCAAGATTTTCTTGTTGATGTTCATTTCTCTCATTCGAAACTTCCCTGAAAAGAGCATTATTGCCTGGGCCTTCCCCTTCATCCTCTGAATCTGGATCGCCAGCATTCTCTTGATATCGAGCAGCGTCATATTCAGCTTCGTACTGCACAGGATCCACCCCAGATGCCTCCGTCGCCGTGGAATCAGCATTGTGATGATGGCCGGAAGGTGATGTCATTTCTGACACTGATGGCGAACCACGCGCCAATACGCTGCGAACTGGAGTTCTCCGGGCACTACTAGAGCTACTGGCATTGTTCCTTGGTGCCCCGCTGCTATTCCGTGGCGTTGCAACGCTTCTTTTTTCCGAAGAAAGCGTCATTGTCAACTTCCGATGGCTATTTTTGCAGCGAAAAAAAAAATGCTTCAGTCACGTACATTCAGCACTGGAAAAGCTGTGCGCCAAACAGCCACGAAATAGCCGACAAGCTCCCAATGCTAAATCATCGTGTATGGTGACCAACATAGCGCTTGTCAGCTATCAACATGCTATCAAAGAGGGTGAAACACACGCATGGAAGAGGGTAGGCGCCCAAAAGAATGGCGCAGAGCATGTGTAAAGTTTCATTAACTCAAAACCTAAACCAGCTATTTTATTGCCGTTCTAGTGTGCGGCCGTGACTAAACGATAGCTTACCTACTAGAGGCTAGTGTTAGGATGCATTGCAGCTTAGCGGGCTTGAAATGCTGATTTCGAACATTCGACCAGACAATCGATTTGCCAACGCACGACACTTTGGAACGCAATCCACCATGATCATCGCCAAACCCAGCTCCTTCTTCCTCTTGCTTCCCATCCTCCAGTCGATCCTTGCTCAAACCAAAACTGGACCATCCCAGGACCAACCAACCACCGATTACCGTACGTTCAAGCAACATTGGTCAGGCCCGAAACAACCCCGAAACCATTCTGACTTCCTACGAGAGCTAGCTAGCTATTCGCTTTGTTTTGACTAAATCAGAGTGGCTCTCTTTCTCATTGTTACATTACACAATAAGACACACACCATGTTTCGGAACCGAAAACACCAAGAAACGCTGCCGATGAGTGGCAATGTGGCGCCGTCATCGTTTCATTTTCCAACCGGCAATGGAAAAAGTTCGTATGCGAGCATGGGATCCGATGGATCGGGCAAAGCCATTCGCATGGAAGCTCCCATTGCTCGTGCTTGGAAAAAGGCGTCTGGATATACCAAGGGATCCTACTATGCCCTCATCACCTGCTTTCTAATGACGTATTTTGGCTATCGTTGGCTGAGATGGAATCATGGTGAGTTTCAGAAAGAGGAAAGAGAAAAAAGAAAAACAAACAATGAGATGATTTGATAAAGATGGATTCGGTTGATTCCTCATTATTTTCGTGCCTCTCTTTCTGTTGTGTTGGATAGCTTCTGTTCATTTGACATGTCATTCGGAAGAGTGTACGTTTTGGATCACACCGCAGGGATGGAATGGAAGCCACAAGGCGACGTTTCCTCGACACCAACTGGTTAGCGCCGAAGCCATGAAAGTCACCAAAGAGGGAGAGTTTGTAGAAATGAGTCCTCGCCTCGACAATTTCCAAGATATTCCCGGAAAGGGGAAAAACAAAAACAAGAAAAAGACTTCCAGCTACAAAGGACCCGACAAAAACGGACACTATCCATCCTATCGAGTGACTCTGCGAGTCGCTTCGGAAGAGCAACAACAACAACAAACAGGAGATAGTACCCCAGGTGATGCCGAGGAAATTTTATCCAATGAAATCCCCAGTTCACCTCTGACGACCATCGAACGCTTTATGGAAAAGGGCAGCGAGGAAAATACCTTGACAATCATCATTCGCAAATTCAATATTGGCCAAAGTCGAAGACGCGTCAAAACCACCGTGCAAAAGATTGATTCCTACATTAAACGACGTCGTCACAAATTGACCATCAAGGAAAACGTACCACCGGCATGGCAAGGCATTCTCTTGCTAGTGGTGGGTATCTTTGGATTGCTGCTGACCGTACTGATAGGTCAATTCTGGGATGATGACTCGTCTCATCTTCCCAAAAAACGACAAAGTGGACCGGGAACTCGTACTCGAAAGACACCCGACTACAAGGGCAAACGGCCGTCGGTAGCGAGTTCCGTCAACCGAGGAGCGAGTGCCGTCAACCGAGGAGGAGGTCGATCGAAAGCGTACTAATAATCAACCACACGAAGCAATCATCGGAACGTTTCATGACAATCCACCCGCTTTTTATCCTTCTTTTTGGAAGGTGCTTGTTTGCAAGTTTTAAACGTACAATATAGATACGAAATCTACATGCGCTAGCGACCGTATGAGCAGAGGTGCAGTGGCTCCTCACGTTTCGAACAACTACCGTACAGTCTCCAATCCCTTTATCCTTGCCGTACGTGCGTGCATACCAGTAGACTGGTTGATGTTCAATTTCCAACTCATCGAGTTGAGTGTCGGATCGACTCGACTCAGTGGGATCGAAGCAATTCGCAGTTCAGTTCAGAACTTTGCATCGGGTGCGTGTGCTGACCTCCAAAGCCTAGCTAGGGTTGAACGGAGAGGAACACGCAGCGTGACAAAAACTGGCTGCCAATGGAGGTGCTGCCAGATTCGCCTCTCTACAGCGTGGCAGTACACGAACCGTGGAAAGGAACCAAGCGTTCAACTCAATAGCTATCCCGGAAACTCTGTGTGAGATGTGCTTGTATATGCTGTGGGCACTACCGATCGTGAGAGACTGAACCGAAGGATCGCAATACACTTTGCCATGATCGTACCTGAGGCAAGGCTCGCCGGAAACTCTCCACCGTGGAACCTCACGATCGTGGCCGTGGACAGCTCTGATCCTGGATCGAGACGAGATCACCAAACAAAAGTCTCACAAATCCACCATTGCTTCTCCAAATAATACTAGTATTGTTCCAAGGACAAGGACTTCAATCTGTCAATCCAATGAGTGCCAACGACGACGAAAAACCGCCGGTCAACAAGAAGCCTCGCCTTGAGTGCTTTGAATGCCAAGATGGACCTGATGTGGTCGTCATCGTCGGAGACACCGAATTTGAAGAGTACAGCCACAACCTTCGTTGTTGGAGTGGCTACTTTGATGGCGCCTTTCGCAGTGGGATGAAAGAGTCTGAATCCAAACGTTTTGAGTTTCCCGACAAGGATCCTAAAGAGTGGGAGCTTATAAGGTCCCTGTTCGTTCCGCTCTCCAAGGCGAAAGTGACGCAAGAGAACTACCCAATCTTGCATCCCTGGTTCGAAATGCTCTGCTGCAAATCGGGACTGGATGACTGCGATGATGTTGTCTGTAAGGTGGTGAGCAGGGTCCGTGTCAAAAAGAGTACCGGTTGCGTGGAAAGGATTGTGTCGGTTGCAACCAAATGCATCGAATGGAATAGAAACATTCCCAAGGACAAGTGTCTCGACGTGTTGAAATCCGTTCTTCAAGACCCTTCCGACTGGACGTTGGATGCGACGGGTGTTCTCAGTATCTTGGCATTAGTCGCCAAAGACGAATCGGTCTGCAAGACATTGTGGCCCCTTGTCAAGACATTTCTCCCTTCTGAAATGGCAACGAGCGAATTCCAAGGCGACGGGATTCATAGTGGCTTGCAAGATAACATCGCAGTCAATGAGTTCATTCAGCTCAAGTTGGAAGCCATGAAGGGCATGAAGGCAGCTGCCACCTTACACTCTTTGGTTCAAAGAATCAAAACCCTTGTTTCTGAGGATCAAGACCTGAATAACCCGTTCGATGAAGCACCATTTAGCGAAGTGGTCGACGGCCACCTGAGATATGACAAACAGTTTGTGCGTGCTTTCGATGCGGTGTTCGATAATTGAGTTGGATGTACAGGCTGTACTGATGATGTGCGGAGAGGGGAGGAAGAAGTGGACGATTTTTGGCTTGAATTGCCCGTTTGCAAATTTTATGGAGAAAGACGATGGACAGGGTTGTGACTCTTTAGTATTGCTACAATTGAGTACAAGAACTATGTAAGACCTCTATCAAGTTGATATCACCATTCTTTCTCTTTTTTACTACGGTATCCGTCGTGATTGTCGTGATGGTGAGGCATAGAGAAGCCTCCCAGTTGCGTGCCGGTACCTACCGCCACAACTGTACCTATCAAGGAGGACGAAATCAACTCCCGCGCCTTGTTGAAAAAAGCCAGCTCTGCTGTGTTCAGAAAGATTCGCCACGTGGCCTTTCAATCATCCAAACTGCAATCCAAACCAACACAACACCGTTGGTATCGGTATAACTGAACTTGGAAGGCTCCAACGACAACCGGTATGTTTGCAAGATGATGAAACTGTGGTTCTCCTCAGTAGTAATTATAGCGACGGCATTTCTGCCCACTCGATCTGCTTTTTTGGCGCTTCGTCACGATGTCATTGCTTCCCAGAGGACATGCCGCCAGATTGGCTTCAATCCGAGCAACCCTCCCACCAAGGCTGTCTTCACTACTGGTACTGGGGTATTGTGCTCCACTGCTGTCCCACAACGCCTCTTTGTAAGATTCTCCAAAGGACGTGACGATGAAGAGACAGACCAGGGTAGCAGCAAGAATAGCAACAATTCACCAGACTACAAAGATCGCCTTGCCAAACTGGATCAAACCATTGCCGAAGCGGCAGAAGAACGAAAACGACTTTTGAAAGCAGAATTGGATCGCATGGACAAATCAACTGTAAAGAAACGAGAAGCTAAAGAAGATTCGTTGGTAAAAGATGAGGGATTGGTTCCTGTGGACGAGTGGACTGCCAGAGAACTGCGACAGCCACCACCACCCTACACAGAACCAGTATTTCAAAAAAGAACAAGTAGTCCGTCACGAATCAGCACACGATCCCGAGTCTCACGGTCAGACGCAGGCACTCTGGTGATTGAAGTTACTCCAGAAGGAATTTCCACGGGCACCTTATTCAATGGAGCGTTTTCCGTGGCGTGGTTCTCGGCCATTGTTCCCGCGACACTGGCGGCAGTCAGTGGAGGAGCGCTGGGAATGGCGTTGTTTATGGTCCCCTTTTGGGCTGCCGGTGGCATGGTAGCCAAACAAGCCGTTGTGGATCCATTCATCTCCAATACAGTCACGATTGGTCAATACGCTTGGAGCTTGGAGCAGCGATACGGAGACGGTAGCAAGCGCCAGGGAGCGGCTATTCAGAAACAAGAAGGCGCCACGGCTGATCTACAAGGAGCCAAGGTAGAATGTCCCTTGATTGTCAACAATGTGCCACAGTATCAGTTGAATCTGTACAGTAATGGGTATAATGGTGGCGTGGTCAGCCTTGGAGTTGGGTTACCTGAGGAGGAACTCCTCAAGGTTGCCGATGAAATCAACAATTATCTGGAAAGCGTTGCATCTGAAGAGGGAGATGAGGCGGCTCTTCGATAATGGTAATGATAAATCCACTAGCTAGCGACTCGAAGAAAAAAAATGGAGTTGCATAATGCAACTCGCTGTGTGTCATAACCTGATGGAGCGCTGTGTGTGCTGTCTACACGGTTCCGAACACGAGAAAGGAGTTATCCTCCGAACTGCCTGCAGCAAATAGCATATGTGTATGGCTGCCAAACAAAACAGCGACAAAAAACTAGCTGGCTAGCGCACGTAACCGAGATCAAACTAGGTCAAGCTAATAAGACCTACAAGGGGCAGCCGTTCTCCTCTGCCCATGCAAGGACTTCTGGATGCCTGCCTCTAGCACTAGCAAGGGTGTTGTCGTCCCAAGGGCATCCACTCTCACGGAGCCATTTCAGAATTTCTAGATGCCCACCTTCCGCAGCAGCTGAGCAGGTGGTAGCATCCCTTGGGCACCCATGGTCATGAACCCATTGTAGTGTTTCCAAATGACCACCTTTGGCTGCTGCTGAGGATGTCATTTCATCCCATGGACATCCATTCTCGTGTGCCCATTTGAGAAGTTCCAAATGGCCATTTTCAGCTGCAGCTTTGCATGTTGAGGAATCCCATGGACATCCATTCTCGTGTGCCCATTTTAGAAGTTCCAAATGTCCTTTCTGGGCAGCCCGCGCACAGGTTTGTTCACTCCATGAGCACCCATGCTCACGAGCCCAAATCAGAACTTGCAAGTATCCCCTCTTGGCAGCCATGTGGCATGTACTGGCGTCCCATGGGCATCCATTCTCACGGAGCCATTTCAGCATTCCCAGTTGCTGGTTCTGTGCAGCAGCTCTGCAAGTTCTCTCATCCCAACGGCATCCATTCTCACGAGCCCATTGCAGAGTCTCCAAATGACCATTTACAGCTGCCGATGAGCAAGTTTTTGAGTTCCACGGGCATCCATTCTCGCGTGCCCATTTCAGAACTTCCAAATTTCCATTCAGGGCAGCACGCGCACAGGTTTTTACATTCCAAGGGCATCCATTCTGACGTGCCCAGATCAGAATCTCCAAGTATCCCCTTTTGGCTGCTATTTGGCAGGTGGTAGCATCCCAAGGGCATCCATTCTCACGTGCCCATTTCAAAACATCCAGATGATTATTTTGCGCAGCAGCCCTGCAGGTTATTGGGTCCCACGGGCATCCATTATCACGAGCCCATTTCAAAATTTCCAGGCTCCCCTGTAAAGCAGCACAATAGCATGTTTCAGCATCCCAAGGGTATCCCTTCTCACGGGCCCATTTGAGGACCCGAAGGCTCCCAAATTTGGCAATTGCCCGGCAGACCTTTTCACTGCGTAGGTCACTGACGCAACATTCGGCGCAGGCCACACTGCGAAGCGCAGCGCTGAAACAAGTGTCCTTGCCGGTTGCTGCACGGCTACTCTTGTGATCCATGGTACCATCCCGCACCATTGGAGGACTTTTCACAGTGTCGCAATATTCCAGATAAAGCTGCTGCCATTGCTTGTTGACAGCTCCAAAAAAGGCAAATTGACCCATGCCCAAAAAGGGGAGAACGTCGTTGATCATGATATCCTTCCTATCCAACAGTGAGAGAATCGCGGGTGACAGTTTCTGTTTTTTGTGGCTTGCCTGGGAAGACAACATGACGCAAGAGGATGATGGCTTTGAGGCTACGTTAGCTAGAGGTGGAGGCAAAGTGGTTGTCTATCGTCAAGAAGTAGACAGGAAGCAACGAAGTGTGTTCCTGTCCTATTATGTGTCTGCTGGGTGTCTGGCTAGACACACACCCAGGTGCTTTGGCACGACAACGAGACAGACGGTTGTGGTGGACGTGGCACAGTGGGCTATCCGTTGTTTGACGATGAAGGCGAGACTTCTTCCCCAAACAAGCTGCAGAGCTGTTGATGTAGCATGCTACCGGTACCATATCGGTTCGTAGTGGGTGTTACTTTTAGGTGGTCCAACCCAGGATGTACAGTAAGCCAGCTTAAAAGCTGCTTATGTTTGATGGTTCTTTCGCACATATGTTTTGTATAAATTATGGAATTTGGAATCGCCAACAAACCGGATTCTTTCAGGATTCCTCTCAATATGTTCGAGCCATAAAAAACATCAAAAGCCTCTAAGTAATTTCGACATGAAGGGAACTCGCACGCCGGTCGGCTATGGTATAACGAACCGTTTCAATGGTATTCTTTACAACGCTCACAATTTCGAAGTGCTCTAACGACTGGCGCGCGATAGATTATAGTAAATCAGTACTCTAACACGGATCAGCAAATATTTGGGTTCAAACGATTAATAACGGACTCATTTACAAGCTTACTGACTACTCTAAAGCTTCCTGACTACTCTAAAGCTTCGTCTCAACACTTGCTGTCTCGAAGAGACTTTTACAACACTCTGGTTAAGCTAACATCTCGTTGGATATTAGAAGATCATGTTGGATTGCACAGAAGAAGAAAGGGATACTCGTACATTGAGGATAAAAATTGGAGAAAGTTCCCTCAAAAACAACTCCAGGAGTAAGTGTCCAGTACGGGGACTAAATGTCAAGGTGTAATGCCACGCATCCATTGAATAAGAAGAGAGGTGTTTTCAGAGATGGTGGATAAGGAATCATCGTGTTGTTGAATGCGTTGGTATCGTTGTCGTGCAGTGGTGATATTAAAGAGCCAAGATTTTTTGAATGAGGTTGGTTTGTGCAATACACGGCTCTTAGCCTTGTTCGCGACTCGATTCTAGATAGGGTTTGAGTTCGACTCATGACGTAGTCCTTCGCGAATAGTCATTGAGACAGGGTTCTCATGACTGCTAGTCATACTAGGTTGTCGTTGAAACATCGCTCTAGATATTTAGCCAGCGTGGAAAGCTTTCACGCTACTAGACAGCTACTAGCTGAAGTTTCCACGTGTTCCGGAAATGGACCGTGGAGTACGTAGAGTTATTGCCATAACCTACGATATCACACTTCGAGGCCTCCCGCGGGAGACCAACTTCAATGAGCTTCACAACGATCTCTCTCATGGATTAGTTTTCGTAGCTTTCTAATCTCTCTCATAACTTTCATTCTCTCAAACTCAAAACACTCGAAAGATCTTTACACTAGCTTTTAGCGTAGTGCATTTTGTTAACAAACACAATAGCTTTCAGCTACCCTCAACCTATTCCTTCACCATGAAGATTGCTCAAGGAAAGCATGCGTTCACCAACTTCGAGAAACAGTTGCGTGACAAACCCATTCTTCCTCTCGTGGACAACGATGAAGAAGCCGAGATCGACGATACTCGTGCAACCACCTATAAACTTCGCACCGTTCCTGCAGATGCAAACAGTGCCAAATATACCTTCAAGGTAGCCATTATCAATGGTTCCAACACTCCGCGTCAGACCATCAAGTGGGCTACGAATATGGAGAAGGTCTTCGTTGGACTCAACCTTGCCAATGCCGACGACAAACATCGCCTTCTCAAGGAGATGACTTCCAGCTCTGCGAAGAGTGCCTACGAAGCTGGGTGTGCAGGCCATCGTGCCGTGCGTCACCACAACCTACGACAAATTGCTGTAAACGCAGTTGCTCCACGCGACGTGGGTTCTGGAGAAACCAAAGTCCAATTCCAAGCTCGTGTTCAAGCCGCATGGGACGGTGCAGCGGAACCCGCTCTAGGCGATGAGGACATCACCGTTGGAATCAACGCGGTTATCGAAGCAGCCTGTCCTTACAAGGCTCTCGAAAAACAGAAACGCTTCATGCGTCGCAAGATGCGTAAGCCTAGCGAGATGACAACTCGCGCCTACATCAACAACCTCACTCGGATGAACACCGATGAGCTTCCACGTTTGCCACCTTTCGGTGTCAATCAACAGTTGAACCAGGACGAATTCATCGACATCATCTGTCATGGCATTCCTCGCTCCTGGATGCGCAAGATGGACGAACACGACTTCGATCCTTTCACTGCCGAGATGGCAGCACTCATTGGATTCTGTGAGCGCATGGAATCCGCCAAAGACTTTGACAAAGGCAGTGATGCCAAGCAAGTTCCTTCGAAGAAGAACAACAGCAAGAAGTACAAGTCTACTCGCAACAACGACCATTCTTCCAAGAGCGAAGAAAAGTGGTGTGATTACCACGAGTCCAGCACTCACAATACTGCTGATTGCATGACTCTGAAGAAACTCAAAGCCAAGTCCACGTCTGACAACGATAGCAAGCCAGCGTACAACAAGAACAAGACTTGGAAACGCAAGTCTGACGACGCCAAGTCCTACACCAAAAAGGAACTTTCGGTCCTTATGAAGAAAGTCTCCAACGCTGCGGTCAAGGCGGATCGCAAGAAGAAAAGCGAATGCAACCATGTTGCCAAACGCAAGTCGGACGACTCTGACAACGAGGATGACTCCTCTGTCGGGTCCCTCAACATGATGGACAAGAAAATGGCTGCAGTCGACAAGGCTCTTGCCGACTTCGACTTCAATCATTCAGATGGAGAGATCTCCGTCTGAGGATTAGGCCAGGATGATGATTCAACGGAACCATGTTCCGATTTCTCATACCTAAGTGATGAAGATATCTCACTAACTAGTAAACAAGAATTGTTTGCAACTGATGAAGTCTACGGCAAATTAGATAATTGCCTAGAAACTGCTCAACTAGATTCTGACGATCTATCCAGCATTGTTAACCTCGTCCGTGGCCAACCACCTCGTCAACGTCGCAAGACAAGAGACCTCAAAACTATCGTCTATGTTAGATTTAACAGACGAGAAAAAGGGAAACAAAAACCCGTTACACTCCGTTGCTTACTGGATACAGAAGCATCTGGAACCTTGATTACCCAAATTCATGCTGAGACATTAAGCATGAAGGATCATGGGGGCGTCCAAATACAATGGACTACCCCTGTAAAGGAATTAAACCCCAGCACGAAGTGTAAGGGTGCGCTTATGACTCCTGAGTTCCACGATGATAGAATTATCGAATGGAACTTGCACGCCACCAAGAACTTGGGGGCGTATGACATGATCATAGGTCGAGACATTCTCTCCGATCTAAGAATCAAATTCGATTTCACTAAATACGAACAACCTGACTTAAAACAGATATGCCAGAGTCAAAACCAGGTAACTAAGGAAGAGCAGGAACCGCTTCATGCCTTATTGACCAAGTGCTCCGACCAATTCGAAGGTACTTTAGGAAAGCGACAAATGGACGACTACGAAGTAGAACTTCGTCCTGACGCTAAACCCTATCACGCTAGGGCTTACCCTACTCCACGTGTCCATACCAACACTCTTAAGACAGAGGTCGAACGTCTCTGCGACGCAGGAGCACTTAGGCCGCTCTCTACCGGAGGGACTAAAGTAGCGACTAAGCCATATTTCATGGTTTAGTCGATAGTTTAGTCTCTTGGGGTGGTGTCTACCCAAGGGACTAAACGTCCAAAGGACTAAAGCCTTTAGTCACAAGGTTGGTTCACCGACTAACGGGAGGCTGGTTAGTCGGTGAGTGAGCGTAACGACTAAAGCCTCTTTAAGAACTCTTTAAGAACAGCACTTTAAAAAAAGAACAGCACTTTTTAAAAAAGAATAGCAGCCTCATTGCACAGCCTCACTATCAGAGCATTGCGACAGAGCTGATAGAGTAGAGGTGCGATCGAACGATCGATGAGGAGTATCGGCCGATAGTAGAGGTGCAAACGATCGAACGATCGAAGAGGAGGTGCAAACGATCGAACGATCGAAGAGGAGGCGCAAACGATCGAACCGTCGCAATGGTGTGTTTTGAGTCTTGTTAT